GTTTGTCATCAGACTTCTAGAAACCACATAACCTAGTCACTATCTGGCTGATATGTTGCTGCAGTAGACAGGGCGTGTGAGCAAAGCTGCTGCCACCACTTCCATAAAGATGAAGTGGCAGCTGGTGTCATGCCAAATGGCCCACTCCTCAATTCAGAGAAAAATAAGTGGACTGGGGAAGCAGGTGTTCACACTGGCAGGAAACAGTTTGAGCAAGAAATGGCCAAAAGGTCAAGGCACATGAAAAAGAAGGTTAAACAAAACTCCTTTGACAGGACAGATACACTTTTATAAAAACAGAATGCAGATGGAGTTGGTTCTGTAGGGTTCAAAATTGTGTAAAAATGATCACAATATGACATTATCTTATAATTACAACTTAAACAGTCACATTGAAAGCTCCAATCTAAAGAGTAAGATTTTTACTATGGACTGAGGGGTGGGTCTGTGATTTAACCAGCACACCACACATCAAGTCGTGGTCTCATATTTTATACTGGACTACATATAAATAGTTGTGGAGCCCTGCATAATCGGACACAGTGTGGGGAGAAACAGGCACACCTTTGAAAGCACACCAAATTTTGTGGACTGAAGAAACACTAATGAACTGCATGCTTATATTATCTGAAAGATTTGAGTTGGTAACCAAGTGTGAAGCTCAACTACAATGACAACTGAGAAGAATTTGCTAAGATTAGACTGCATTAACTTTAGGGAGGTGTTCCTAATAAACTGCTAACTAAACTGAGCTAAAAGATGAATAGAAAGACAAGTGAAAAAAAGAATGGTATTTCATGATCTTTACTATTGTGGATGATGTTTCAGTATGCCAGTACTCTGGTTTGCTTACAATCCTATTTAAATTGCATTTATATGAGGCATGACTAAATACAGTAGGTTTGCACTATGTACACCTAGACCTACACCAAACTAATACTGTCTAAAATACAATGCTGAAATAAACCCAACTTTCACGGAATGTACGTATATAAAGTTTTTTGTCAAACAAATTTTTGAGTCAGTCTACAGTGCAGTTTCACTCCCCTGTGTTATACTGGGAGGTTTTGTAAATATCTGAACTGCCCTCACCGTTGTGAGAATTTTTCACATTTTGATTTGTCATTGTAGGAAAAGCACAGTGTGTTACTAAAGCAGGTATCACATTAACAACGGCTCTGTTGGCAGAGTGACAATGAGTCAGCGTAACCCTAAAACTTGGGTAGCTAAAAAGAGTTCAGCCATTATTATTATACTGACATAATATCAAATCTTTCTTGAAAAAACAAGAAATTAGAAACAATATAACCTCATTATGTCCATAAAAGGCCATGTTAACAGCGAAGTGTGAATGAATGTGGGAACTTATCTGAGAAACTATCAACTTCTTTCTCTGGTTTTACAACAAGCTCATGGATCTTTGAACTTCTTAAAGACCAAACGTGTTTGTGAACAGAACTGTGACGCGACATGTCATGTGAGTCTGGGATAAAATTTTGATCTGTCATAGTAGGAAATGCACAGATGTTTTTAATGTTGTTAACGATGCCTCGTTTCCATTAGTCCATTCCACTGAACCAGGCCATACACTACCAAGAGCCTGGAACTGGCTCACTTAAACTGAATGCAGTTCTTATTAATATTTATACTTTTTGTTGTAACTTGTCAACGTTTCTGCCATGAAAAAGACTTCACCAAAAAACACTTAACTGCTGTAAAAAAAAAAAAAAAACGGGGGGATTAAGATGTGCAAATTTCTATACAAAAATTTTATAAAACTGTCCTTCAGGCATGAAATGAAACAGGATTTTCAGCTGCTTCAGAAACTATTCTGACCTCTTTACACACTTTACTGTGTGGTAATTTTAATCTGAAAGGGGCAAGATTACCATTATTTTCCATCAATATGTACAGTGTTCCAAATTATAATGCAAATGAAATATCAAAACATAATAACCAAGAGCGTAGAAAGAAACTGTTCTCTTTGTCTCATCAAAGACGCTGTGGCATTCGGTTTCTAAACCAGGCCTACGTGTTGTTGCATTCATTTGAGTTGATGTTCCTATGCGTTGCATAGTATGCACACAAATTACATGCAAGGTTCTTGTCACTTTGTAGCACACATTACTTTGGAACAGTTCTTTATGTAGAACTGTTCTGTTAATTATGTCTGCAGTTCATATGTATGTTTTGGGCAATGCCACACACTCCCTGAGATTTGTGTACTCAGGAAATTAAGAGATTTTAATTGACCATTTGTTAAATGTAAATGTTTGAGATGTTAATAAAACTGAAGAATCCGTTTCCTCTAACCAGTTTGTCATGCATTTCTACATTCCAAAACTGTACATTAATAATACAAGTTTATCCTAGTATTTCAAAATTGCAACTAATCAGGATTAACTTGATTACATTTTGTAATCAGCACTACTTTGTGCACAGTTTACTGTGTTGTAAATTTAATTTGAAATGGGTAAGATTACCATTATTTCCCATCAATGTACACAGTGTTCTAAATTATTATGTAAGTGACATATGAGTAAGATTCCATTAAAATAAACATTTTTGGTTTTTCTTTGAAGGTTTGTGCATGTTTTACTGTCAGGTATTGCTAGATAATTGGTATCGATCTCAGACAAGGTGACCTTAATTAAAGGGAAACCTATTTAAAGAAGCTGTTCCACATTATTAGGTCAACAGTTCCCAAGCAATATGGGGAAGAAGAAAGATATGTCTGAAGTTGAAACGCATGAAATAGTGCAATGTCTTGCAAAAGGTATGAAAACCATTGATATTTCACACAAACTGAGGAGAGATCACTGAACTGTGAAAAGATTTGTGAGCAATTCAGAGCACAAATGAATCCTGTCAGATAAAGGCTTATTAAGAAATGTTCCTGTCAAACAAATGTATTAAAAGGGCAGCTATAAAAAGCCACTGTTTAGTAGCAAACAGGTATTTGAATCTGTTAGTGTCTCTGGAGTCCCAAGAACCACTCGATGCAGGATCTCCCCAGCTCTTGGCAGTGCATTAAAGCTGCATTTTGGTCACCCTTAACTGGAATTCACAAAGACAAATGTTTGCAGTGGACTCAGAAATGCATGAAAATCAATTTTCAAACAGTTTTATTCTGTTTTATCAGATAGATGGAGTTCTGGATGGTTGGTGAATGGCCACCCTGTTCCAACAAGATTGCAATATCAGCAAGGCAGAGGGAGAGTGATGATCTGGTCTGGAATACCAACAAATGAGATGCTGGGTCGCTTTAGGTTGCCTAAGGGTGTCAAAATGACTTCCACAAAATGCAGTAACCATTTCCTGCCATGATACACTGGGTATGGAAAGTATTCAGACCCCCTTAAATTTTTCACTCTTTGTTATATTGCAGCCATATGCTAAAATCATTTAAGTTCATTTTTTTCCTCATTAATGTACACACAGCACCCCATATTGACAGAAAAACAGAATTTTTGACATTTTTGCAGATTTATTAAAAAAGAAAAACTGAAATATCACATGGTCATAAGTATTCAGACCCTTTGCTCAGTATTTAGTAGAAGCACCCTTTTGAGCTAATACAGCCATGAGTCTTTTTGGGAATGATGCAACAAGTTTTTCACAGCTGCATTTGGGGATCCTCTGCCATTCCTCCTTGCAGATCCTCTCCAGTTCTGTCAGGTTGGATGGTAAACATTGGTGGACAGCCAATTTTCAGGTTTCTCCAGAGATGCTCAATTGGGTTTAAGTCAGGGCTCTGGCTGGGCCATTCAAGAACAGTCACGGAGTTGTTGTGCAGCCACTCCTTCGTTATTTTAGCTGTGTGCTTAGGGTCATTGTCTTGTTTGAAGGTGAACCTTCGGCCCAGTCTGAGGTCCTGAGCCCTCTGGAGAAGGTTTTCGTCCAGGATATCCCTGTACTTGGCCGCATTCATCCTTCCCTCGATTGCAACCAGTTGTCCTGTCCCTGCAGCTGAAAAACACCCCCATAGCATGATGCTGCCACCACCATGCTTCACTGTTGGGACTGTATTGGACAGGTGATGAGCAGTGCCTGGTTTTCTCCACACATACCGCTTAGAATTAAGGCCAAAAAGTTCTATCTTGGTCTCATCAGACCAGAGAATCTTATTTCTCACCATCTTGGAGTCCTTCAGGTGTTTTTTAGCAAGCTCCATGCGGGCTTTCATGTGTCTTGCACTGAGGAGAGGCTTCCGTCAGGCCACTCTGCCCTAAAGCCCCGACTGGTGGAGGGCTGCAGTGATGGTTGACTTTCTTTGACTTTCTACAACTTTCTCCCATCTCCCGACTGCATCTCTGGAGCTCAGCCACAGTCATCTTTGGGTTCTTCTGTACCTCTCTCACCAAGGCTCTTCTCCCCTGATAGCTCAGTTTGGCCGGACGGCCAGCTCTAGGAAGGGTTCTGGTCGTCCTAAACGTCTTCCATTTAAGGATTATGGAGGCCACTGTGCTCTTAGGAACCTTAAGTGCAGCAGAATTTTTTTTTGTAACCTTGGCCAGATCTGTGCCTTGCCACAATTCTGTCTGTGAGCTCTTCAGGCAGTTCCTTTGACCTCATGATTCTCATTTGCTCTGACATGCAGTGTGAGCTGTAGGGTCTTATATAGACAGGTGTGTGGCTTTTCTAATCACGTCCAATCAGTATAATCAAACACAGCTGGACTCAAATGAAGGTGTAGAACCATCTCAGGGATGATCAGAAGAAATGGACAGCACCTAAGTTAAATATATGAGTGTCACAGCAAAGGGTCTGAATACTTATGACCATGTGATATTTCAGTTTTTTTGTTTTAATAAATCTGCAAAAATGTCAAACATTGTGTTTTTCTGTCAATATGGGGTGCTGTGTGTGCATTAATGAGGAAAAAAATGAACTTAAATGACTTTAGCATATGGCTGCAATATAACAAAGAGTGAAAAATTTAAGGGGGTCTGAATACTTTCCGTACCCACTGTATATAATATATGGGTTGTGATACTGGCAGAAACTCTACATGAACTTACAAGTTCATTAGATGAGAGAGTTGTTAAAGTGATATCAGAAAGGGGCTTGTATATTAATATGCAGCTTGAGGTAAATAGTTTTTGATTGCCTTTATTTTTTAAGAATGATCTATTTATGCAACAAATCAAACATCTGTTTTGAGTTCACTATGACCTACTGAATTACTTCAAACTACAATCTGTCATGTCATTATCAGTAGTTTTTGCTTGTAATAATACCCACATTGTCATGTACTTGTTGAGGGTAAAGACACCAACTGTGTTGACAGTTTAGGAAAAATAAACAAACATGGAACTTGAATAATAATTTTGAACAGTGTACACTCAATAACTCATAACGACAAAGAGAAAACATGTTTTTAGAAATATCTGCAAACTCAAAAAGTCAAAAACTAAAATCTCTTTTACAGAAGAGCTCAGACCCTTAATTCAGAAGTCTGTAGAAGCTCCTTTCACCAGCACTTAGAACCTCAAGTCTTCTTGGGTCTCTACGAGCTTTGCACACCTGGATTCAGCAGTTTATCCCATTCTCCCAAGTAGATCCTCTCAAGTGCTGTCAGACTGGTTGGGAAGTGTCTGTGACCTGACATCTTCAGGACTTTCCACAGATGTTTATGGAGTCTGGACTGCCACAGGAAAAGAACTGATAAATTTCAGTTTTTGATATTTAATAAATTTGCAAAAAAAAAATTGTATATGTTTTCATTTTGGTGGCATGGTGAAGCAGTGATTAGCGCTGTCCCCTCTCAGCAAGAAGGTTCTAGGTTCGAGCCCGGGCCAACCCGAGGCCTTTCTGCGTCAGCTAGTATGAATAATAACAGCGGGGCATATCCCTTACACCAACTTTTTGTGGCCACACTACACTTATTTGTTCTTTACTATCCCTCTTGCAAACACACACATTTTTTCCACCTAGATTTGAGTTTCCCAGTTGGAGTTGGACCACCGTCCAACTCCAAGTGTCTCCATGTACAAGTTAATGTCCACTTTTAGATGTGTTTCTTTTTTATATTGGCAAATTGCTAATGACTAAAAAAAAAAAAGAAAAAAAGGGGGAAGAAAAAAAATTGTGCACCATTTTTTTCTTTCCATGTTGCAGTTTATGTCCTGTTGACTAACACAATGGAACCCAAGATCCCAATTCTGGCTATTCAGACTATGCAACATGTATTCTGTAGCCTTCATAACTAAGCAAATCTGTTCACATACTGTTTTATTCCAGGCTGGAGCCCCAGCTAACCGGGTGCCTTTGCATGTTCTCCCTGTGCCTGCGTGGGTTCTCTCCAGGTGCTCTAAATAGGGGTTATGCGGAACGTCACGTGACCAAACCGGAAAACGGATCAGCGCACGTCCGCTTTTCCGCAGAACGTGGGTGATGCAACAGTAGTAACGCGAAACACGTTCTTTGAGCTCGTTTTATTTGATTAGTGCGTAGGTTATAAAATAAATAAATAAAATAAAAAAAGTTTTTTTCAAGACACAAATACCAGAAGCGGGATCATCCAAACAGTGATTTCTGCTGCGTACCTAAATGCGCGATGTCAGGGAAGTTCAATTCAGCCATAAGCTTTCACCATTTCCCTAAGGATGAAACCTTAAGAAAAATATGGATCCGTAATGTACGACGTGATAATCTTGTAATTAAGAGGACGACAACAGTATGTAGTAGACACTTCATCTCCACAGATGTAATTCAAGGTGGACGACAGCCTTTGAAAGAAGGAGCCATTCCAGTGTTGTTTGCCTGGAATGACTACTCTCTGCCAGCAAGTAGACCAAGCGTGTGGGAGAGAACGCAACGGCCGAAGGAAATTGAGGAGGAACAGATGGACGTCGGATTTCAGCTTCAGTGTCATGACTATGCGGTTATTTTTTATATATCCAAGTGGTCCGCTTCATCTCTCTGAGTTCCTGGTTAAAAGAACTGGGTTATATCTTACAAACTCTACCTTTGTAGTCGTGGATGTATGAAGAAGCATAAAGCTTAAACCCCTTATCCAGCTTGCTGCCCGGTGTTTTAGACATCGAACTGCATATTCGGTGGACATCCGTGGTCTTCATCTTTGGTAGTTCTTGGAAACATCTTGAGTAGAACAGTGCCATATTTCATACTAGTCGCAAACCGGAAACGGATGATTCTGTTTTGCAGTATATGGAAGTAAGTTGCGCATAACCCCTATTGGCCGTAGGAGTGAGTGTGGCTGTGTGCGATTGTCTGTCTCTACATGTCAGCTTTGTCCAGGGTGTACCCTGCCTCTTGCCCAGTGACAGCTGGTATTGGCTCCAGTGCCCCCCAATCCTCTTCATGATAAGGGGTACAGATAATGGATGAATGTTTTCATTTTATTAATGCGATTAGTATGTTATTGAATGTAGAGTAATGGACAACAGACACTTCCTAGCCAGTCTGAGAGAGCTTGAGAGGATCTGTCAGGAAAAATGGGATAAACTCCCCAAAAGGAATACAAAGCATGTAGAGATCCCCCAGGAATACTCAAAGCTGCAACTGCTACCAAAGAGGCTTCACAGAGTACTGATTAAAACATGGTTTCACGTTGTGATTATGGATTACTGAGTGTGGACTGATGGGAAACAGTGGGAAATTTTATCCATTTCAAATCAAACCTGCAACACAAATTGTGAAAAAAAGTGAAGAGGTCTTTCTGAAGACGCTGCATTTTAATTAAACTGCTTTATTTTTGTGAGCTTAATTGTAGATGGAGACCAAGCCAAAAAAGGCAACCCAATTTTAACAATATGTGGCAGAAATAAAAATACACACCTTCAACTTTCTCAGCACAGCGCACCCTGGCCTTCTCCCTCATGAGCTTGGGAATTAGGACATCTTTTTCCACATGCCTCAGATGGATCTCCTCTGAGGAAGCAGGGGGAAAAGAAAAATACACAGGTAACCAACACAACAATGGTCTGCGTCACCATTAGCCCCAATTTGTGCAGCAAGACGTTTACTTCAGCACTTGAAAGTGAGAGTGCTGAAATACACGAGACACACAAACTAGTGTTACATCAGTGTATTCATAACATTACTGCAGACGACCGAACAGCTTACAAGGCATACGGAGTCAATTAAGCTCACTGAGGCAGGCGGTGTACATACTGCATAACCTTATGGACACATGAATAATCACTTACTTTTACACGAAGATAGCGTTTTAGTTTAAGCTACATGGCTAACGTGAGCTACACGACTCTGCGTAACACCGAGTAACGTTAACCTTATACCAGCAGCTGAATAAATATATATAAAGGTTTTAACAAATAACATACTGCACTCCTAAAATGTACGTTAAGCATCTAAGACAGCAGAAATATTTAATACCTGAGTCGGCTGACCCCATTGTGTGCTGTTTCTCACAACATAACAAAACTATACCAACGTGACGTAGCCGACGGACGCTCAAACCACTTCCGCTAACGTAATAAAACGACGTAAGGCTCTCACCGTGGATAGTAGTCTCTGTATCTGCCTATATGACGCGTATAATGTCAGAGATAGTGAGATCCTTCTTTATTTCTGTAGCGGACAGTTCAAAATTTCTATTTTTTTGTCCTCTAGAAACACCTCTCTACTGTAGTACACATGGCTAATAATCCTCATAACAATAACAACCTATTCCTGTTTTTCATAATAATAGGCTTCATGTGAGCAAGAAAGTTTCATTCATTGTTGACTAAAGCCTGAAGTAGAAAATGTGTTGTGGCTCAAAAAATCGTCATCTAAATTAAAATGACATTGTTTTTCCCAAGAGCACATGAACTATGCTTTTATTTTCTCACAGTTAAACACAGCTTTACAGGATATAATAACGGTTGCACTTGATTGCAAGAAATAATAGTCCATGCTACCATTGTAAAATGTAAAATATACATTTTTTGTTGAATGGTGAATGTGGAGGAGCTGTAGATTCATCTTTCTGCAAATATGTCAGGTTGTATTAGGTGTCCTTGTTTATGTGTCTAGTCCTCAGGTGGTTATTTTATTTTATTTTTATTTTTATTTATTAAACTGGCAATAATGGATGTAGTGAAGACTAGCATGTTCTTCTCTCATAATTAAAGGAAAAAAGACTTTTAATTGGCCTTTTCCCTGCAGATATTTTGCTATGTCACTGCAGGAAAAGCACCACATTAAAATAGTAAAATGAATAATAGGCGAATTCATCTTAGCTGCTGCTGTTTCAAAGGTCTTATCACTGAGTCTTATCACACTTATCCATGAGTTTTTCTTTTTTTCACAGGCCAAAATGTGTGTTGCAGAAAACATTTTAATCACTTATAAAATAATTGTGGAAATCCTTTAACAAAATGTCCCATGTTATTTGATTTTAGATTTCCACATGAAGTAGGACAAATTGAACAGTATTTCAATTAAAAGCTCAAATTGTGTAGCTTGGGCTTTGCAAGACTTTATTAAAGAATGCATTAAAAGGAAGATTTTTTTCTGACAAACATTGATATTGTTTCACATTATGTAAATTCGAAAGGACATAAATAAGAGAAAAAAATCTCTAAATCTGTTATTGGGATCAGCTGGCAAGAGTGAAATAAAATGGGGGTAAAACAAATACTCGTGAAAGAACATCAACATCCACCCACTGTGTATCTAAGTCCGTACCAAAGACCGCATGTTGAACACAGTAAGCCTGACCACAGTCAGTTGTGTGGCAGACGCCGTCTAGATTCCCACCTGTTCAGTCATAGCGACAGGTACACACTTAGGGGCCCACACACCTTGAAGTAAAAGACAATCTTCACACACAGAGTTTGACTATAACAACAGGTGTAAGCAACTCATCTCCACATCCAAACCACACACATACACCCAGTGCACCTTCAATGCTTACACTAACCCACAGACACCGCCAGCAGAGGGGATATAGTGAATCTGTTGCTTGTCTGCCTGAAGTTCTCACAGCTCTCTCACCTTACAGTGCTAAAGCTGTCAGTTTTCTCTGTGGAGGGGAGCATTCTTTTCATCTACAAATCAAAGAAAAAACAATGATTTTTACAAGTAGAAGAAAAGACCACAGGCCATCACCTGTAGACACTGTACGTGCTTTTTTGTTTACCCTAGACTTAAACTCACAGACAGATGGAACCACACATTTCCAAGCCCAACCAAACACCTCCCAGACATCACACTCTTCTGTTTCCATCCCTCCTGACACCAGGTGGGCATCTGCAGACTTAATATCAGCAGATCTCTCCAAACCGCAACACTAGGCAAATTTCCACAACAGGACCAAATATGGTCTGTACAAATAATTGCACAATCACTGAAATGAATCTGAGAAAAATGGTATTTAAATTAAACTATCATCTACTGGACAACACATGGGCTTTATTCAATATGATTTTGATCCTGCAAATAAAATGTACCTGTAAAAAATCCAGTGTTATGTCTATACTTCACTTACATTTGAAATGTTCTATCCTCAACAAGAATGGTAACTTGTAGGAAACATGTATAAGTCATATTTTTATAAAATAGCAAGGACCTAATGGTGTTCTAAGAAAAAATCTGTCACAAAAGAAATATATGTAGTGCATATAGTCTGCTTTATTGGATTTTTTTTTACCTAAGTGTCAGCGAAAAGATAAATACACTCAAACACCAGATGATAACTTGTCACATGTGCAAACCCTCTTGTCAATTTTACAGCATAAAGCAAAAAGACAGTGACAATATGCAAAACTAATCAAACTGTCAAACAGGCAGTTATACTAATCCACTTACAGACTCCTTCTGTGCCGAACAGTCCCTTACTTCCTCCCTACTTGGTCACACTGGCTCTCTGGTGGAGGCTGTTTTCTACCCCAGGTAGCCTGCTGGCTGATATGGCAGGGGCATGGGCTCCCAACACTGATCCAATACTACCCAAGCAGCAGGGTCTCATGAACCTGGCAGAAGGAAGTTAGCAGAGTTAAACCCTTTTACTACATGCCTCACCGCTCAGGGCCAACCACCAGCTCCTCCAACTGTCCACTGATGACCACAAAACAATTGTTAGTCTCCAGAAAACTGGTGATGGATGTGTGATTTATGCATCTTAAGCATAAGCATAAACTTTATTGCCAGGTTTTATCACAAATACAAGGAATTTGACTAGCCCAATGGCCCCCAATGTGCACAACAATAAAAACAGAATAAATACAGAATATATACAAGTTGAGAAAGCACAAGTTAAAAGAGCAAAAACCAGACAAACTGTTCATGAGTGTAAAGGCCCAGGAGAAGAAACTGTCCCTGTGTCTGGTTGTTTTGGTGCACAGTGACCTGTAGCGCCGTCTAGAGGGGAGGAGTTCAAAGAGTTTGTGTCCAGGGTGTGAGGGGTCTGCAGAAATCTTCTCTGCCCTCCTTTTGACTCGTGAGGTGTACAGGTCCTCCATGGAGGGAAAACTAGCACCCATGATATTTTCCGCAGTATTGAGTGTCCACTGGAGTCTGTTCCTGTCCTGTTTGGTCTTATTTATGAAAGTACAGTTATACAGAATCCACTTAAAGCACTGTTAAGAGCTGAGAAAAATCTGGAACAAGGAAGATAAAGTTTTGGGTGCTAGGAGAGATTTTAGTTGTACTACTTCAGGTGATAAAAAGTGATCCTTAAAGTAATTTTGACAAACATAGTGTGTGTTTATCCTGCATGCTCCTTTTCTCTGGTGCATACAGCCACTAACACAAGAAGGAGTTCTGATTTCCTTATCTGCACTGAAGCCCCACTCCTCACTCCTGTGTCTGTGACTTCCAAGACGTCGCACAGTCAGCAGATGGGTGTGGAGAAGAGATTTTAAAGAGTGTTTTAACCCAAGCCATGAGGAGTCTCTTCAGGGTCAATGGAGAGCAAATAATCCAACGGCTCGGGTGAGGGGATTACAAACCCACAGGCAGACCTCTGCTGTTGAGTCCTGCTGTGGGGCACCTTCCACAAATCACCCCTGTGAAATTTGCCAATGGCAGTTATTGTCAATGTCAAGTAAATGTGTCTTGTTATTAGTATGAGTGAAAGCTTGGAGACTTCAGCTTTTCTTCTTGCTGGCTTTTGGTACTAATTTATTTGACACAAGCTTGTGAATATTCATCTGAAATAGTCATAGTGATCTGTGATGGAGTTTAATGGAGCGATAGTGAAGGCCAGCATGTGATTCAGCTGTATTGCTCAGCTCTTTATCCAGATCATGTTTGTGTCATATATACATATAATAATGTTCAAGTGATGCAGGTTTGACACAACAATAATGATACTGGTGTGTAAGTGTTAGCATGTCTTATATAGTTAAATAACCAGACATCTAACAGGTAAAAACATACAACCCAAATTTAACAATAACAGAGATAATACAAATATTTCTGGACAGATCAACCACCTTTGTGACATGAAGTTACACTATGATATGATAAGTGCCAGAAAGTCCTTTTGCATAACCTGGCTCTGGGCGCATTGACACCACCCTGAGCAATGTCAGGATGCATTTCCTCTCAAGCAAGTGAAGGGGCGTGCCACTGTGCCACAATCTGCACCCGCTTCTCAGGCAGCCTAAACCCTTTGACACCACAATTTTTAATTAAAAATTACATTAGGAGTAATCAGCCAGAAGAGCTGGGGATGGAGGTCAGAGGGATCAGGGGAGGTGTGTGTGTGTGTGTGCGTGGTGTGTGTCTGTATGTGTGACCCTAAACCACTGATCTTTGCTGCCAGGCCAGTAAAAACATTGCCATTACAATGCATGGCCAGGTTGTGATTATGTTTCTAAAGTTGATGATGATTATCTTTTTCTCTCTTAAACTAAAACACATGCGAAAACAAAATAAATGACACTAAGAGTAAGACTGTTTAAAAAGGCATGTCTCTCACTTTCTCATGTGACATAACTGCAGTAAAGTTGTGAAAGCCCATCACATAAACATGATAATTCATCAGGCTGTGCTAATTAGTATAGAATAAATGGTAAGTACACATTAGAAAGATCTCTCCAGTTACTACATTGTCCTTCTGTCACGTTCTGACATGCTCAGCTGTGATTCCGAAAATTCGTTTGTAAAATTAAGTTGTTGAAAAGGTTTTTTTTTAGAGACACACCTGGCTTTCTCACTGCATTTGTAAAAGGGACCAAATGGTAATATGACTTCCTTCTTCCCAGAAACAGGAGAGCAGTGAAGAGAGAAGGGTACAAAGACCCCATTCGTTCTCGCTTGAGGGGCTCTCGGCAAGATAATTATAAGCTTTATGAAAGTACACAGCAAAAAGTGGAAGAAACCCACTGAAAGAATGGATAGACAGGAAAAGAAAATTACTTTTCCTCTCTGCCATTGCTTTATACCCCCTCTAACAAGAGATCAGACAGCAATGGATGGAGGAGGCCTTCTTCAGGAGGCATCCTGGGGCTTTTGCAGTGAGGCAAACAGGATTGAGTGAAATCGTTCAGCCCTTCTTGTGTTTCTTCCATTCA